TACGTGTTTTTCAAAGAACCTCCTTTCCTGTAGGGGGCAGTAACAATCTGATCCACACTGATGTGAGACACAGCTGTGTGCAGGACACAGAAGGACACATGAAATAATGATGAATGGATGGTTTATCCATGAACTGCGAGACAGACCACGTGACTGACGAGTCGCCGTGGCGCTCCTCTCAGAGGAAACGCCACCACCACGAGCAGCTCAGCTTCCAGGATTCTGTCGAAATTTGTCTCCTAAAAATGAAAACAGTAGATCACAGTGTTCGATGTCATTTTCACACTCCAATTTCTGCAGCTCATTATCTGTTTGGGATTGTGTGAAAATGCCTTTAACAATTTCATACAGCACAGTTTAATCCAAAATGATTAATTACAGCTCACACATCATTTTTCACTTTTGATTAAACTCATCATCGTTTCTGAGCCGTGAATGAAGAAACAAAGGCTGTGCTGGAGTTTAAACGTTCTCAATGGCTTTGTTTGTGCTGCGTTAATCCACTCCAGAGCCTCCCTGGTTTCAGCTCCGTGTTTTCACAGGCAAATGTGTGCTCTGTGATAGATGGCTCCCTTTATGGGGTGTTTACCGCGCGCTCCGTGCTAACGGAGCTGAAAGTCAGCCTTTATCCGGACCCCCAGGAAAGAATCCAGCCCCTGAGGATTTGTGTATTCCTATTTACTCGCTTCTTTTCTCTGTTCTGTCACAGGGCTAATGACACAGGAGTCCTCTCCTACAAAGACCACCTACCAGTGAGCCAGATAGTGATCGGAGACACCGACAGAATGGGCTCGCAGGCCGTCTACCACATCGGGCCTCTGCGTTGTTATGGAGACAGTAGGTGATCACCTCACTGTTGAAGCTACTGTTCCAGATTTGGCTGCAGATGGAGGCTGATTAGAGACACAAAATGTTCACACAATGTCTGTGCGACTTTTATGTTTGTGGATCGAGAGTGAAAACCTCATCTGTGGTGCAGGCAGGATCAGTAAATACCTGCAGGTGTTGCAGAGGGCTGGGTTTGAGTTTGTGCTGCTTGTCTTAGACTTTAAGCGTGCCAGCTTCCCCCATCCCCCGCCCCCCAAACAAGTCTATTTTAAGTGTAATAGCAGCTATCAAAGCTTCTTAAACACATCAAACGTCGGGCTGATGATGTATAATGCATGTAATGTATAAATTATTTAGAGGATCGCTACAGTGTTGCAGAAGCCTGTGATGTCACCTATTGTGTGTAATGTGTGCCACGTACGGTCGCCGCACGTCCACCGATGTCTTGGATTATTTGCTTTTCGATCTTCTCTGCAGAACCAAAGTGTCTTTTAAAAGAAACTGATTTTCTTTCACAGGAATGTTTGATCTCAGTATTTCAGCATCACATGGCAATGAACTCTCCTAACAAGAGTTGTATGTGCTGCTTTGACTGAAAACCTGCTGCCTGGTGGAAATAACACGCTCAAAAATGTCCTCGAGATGCAGCGTGACGCAGCTTCTCCGCTCGCCGCCTCCTCCCTTCACTTCGTCATCTTTACGTTCTTTTCGCTTCCTCCTGTCCCTCCAGGGTCGATCTGGAACGCAGCCTCTTTCTACCAGGAGTCGTCGTACCTGTACTTCCCCACCCTGCAGGCAGAGCTGGCGTCTGACATCTCCTTTTACTTCAAGACCAGCGCTCCTTCTGGAGTGTTCCTGGAGAACCAGGGCCTCAAGGACTTCATCAGAGTGGAGCTTAGCTGTGAGTGCACGTTGTGTCTGCAGTATGAGACGTGCAGTACACACAAACTACAAACAAGAGCAGTTCAGTCATAACTGGGAAACATTAGATTAACCCTTTAAAGC